TATATATATATATATATATATATGACTATTGTTAAAAAAAATAATTCTAGCAGTCCATCTCAGGCCTTTTATAAAGGCATAAATGATTTAATTTCACAGGAACATAGTCCTGAACCTTTTACTTCAATAGTAAAAAGAGAAGTTGAATGGACAGTAAAGACCATTTCAGAAGTTGTTCTGTATCTAGAACCAGAGTTTTGCTAAGAAAAATAATTCTAGCAGTCCATCTCAGGCCTTTTATAAAGGCATAAATGATTTAATTTCACAGGAACATAGTCCTGAACCTTTTACTTCAATAGTAAAAAGAGAAGTTGAATGGACAGTAAAGACCATTTCAGAAGTTGTTCTGTATCTAGAACCAGAGAACATTCCCTTAATGAATGATCCAGAAAAACTAAGGCAGAAATATCTGCATGAAACTTTTTATCCAACTTTTATCTCTAAAATCTAGAGCTTGGATGAAGACTCTTCTTATACAGAAGGGCATGAAAATTACCCATTGTTGGGCCAGCAAGAATCATAACGTCCCGCCAAGTTTTAGCAAATGTATCATCCAAGAAGTTATACTTTCACGAAATTAGGCCATTAATCCAAACCAAGAATTACTGTTGGTAAAAGCCCAAAATTCTAAAGAAATATATTTCTTTAACTAATGGGACTATAAACAGGCTTTTTATGATGTGTTCTTATATCAGAACCCAAAGAATAAGTATACTTGGTTGATTAAGTTATGTCCAGAAGCTCTTCAAAAGGGCATTCCAGCTTGGTTTTATAAATGGTGGAAAACCTATGGCATTGAAATAAGTATTCTTCCAGAACCATTGATGAAGTTATACTCCTCATGGGTTGATTCCCATCATATTCTTGCAAAAAATGGATGAAAGTCAGCTTATAGATGGCATGTGTCTGATTCATTTCTTTGCTGAAACAGAGATTCCTTGGATCTGGAATTGGTCGCTTGAATGTGATTGGACTATTTCTCATATACCAGTCCTTAAAAGAAAGTTCTATTGTCGTCGGTGGAATGTCATATGCCTTGACACCAAAGTTAAACAATTAGAAGAAATAATTCAGAAAAATACTTCTGTTCTTGAGACTCATATGACTCAAGAAATAAAAAAAAATCCAATGCTAAAAATAGCAAAAATGATGAGGAGGAAATATCATCAAAGTTCGGAGTCAGAAATTCAACAAAAATGTGTAGAATATTTTAAAAGATAATTTGTAGAAGCTTTTGATACTCGTGATACCAGAAGCCACCATTCTATGGAAGAAGATACCCTAATTCAAGATGCTCAAGATCCAGACGACATTTGAGCAGAAATATTTGACAATAATATGTCAAACCTTAAAGGTAAAAATCCCGCTTCATAAGCAGTATTAAATTCTAGATTGAGCCTCGGGGAGCCGTCTAGAATCTTCTTTAAAAAGCTACTTTGTAAAGCAGCTTTCTAAATAAAGCTTTTATAAAGATACTTTAAAAAAGAGATGCCATTTACTTTTTAAAGTTATACTTTTTAAAGTTAATGCGCCACGAAGTTATACTTTTTTAAAGTTAATGTGCCATGTCGTTTTCAGAAGAGAATTGAAGCTATCAGAAGTTCTGAACAACGTCTATAAATGAGTGAAGTCTGAAGGTTATGCAAGTGTGTGTGTGAGAGAGAATAAAAGATTGTAAGAGAAGAGAGTTTGTAAGAAATAAATCCTCTGTAAACTAAGTGTGTTCTATTGTAAGATATTTTGGATCATAATAAAGATATTATCTTGAGTATCGGCCGTCTCACTCTATAAGTCTTCTTTCATTTTTCTGTTTTTATTTCCGCCTAACATTTGGTATCGGAGCCATGTTTACCTAGTATATATCTGCTTAAGTTTGATCTTACAGTTTATTTTTTGATTGCTTGCTTATAAGAATGTAGAATTTATATATGTTCTTTATATTCATACAGTTTATTTTTCTGTTCTTTATATTCTTTTGATTGTTTGTCTTTTAAGAAAAAATTTAATTTTGAAAAATCAAATTCATTCTTTTAGGTAATCATGATCTTTAAAAATTGATTTTTCTAAAAAATGTTAACTTTTTGAAAAATCTACTTATCTTTTTTATAAAATTTGTATTTTTATTTTATTTTTTTGTATTGAAAGTGAGTTCTTTTCGAAGAGTTAATTTTTTTGAAAACAAATTAGTATTTTCAAAATTTTATAAAGTCTTGCAAGTTTTTAATAGTTAAAACTTGTTATTTTTCTAAAATACTTTTTTAATTGTAGGTAATTATTTTATTTTTTTAAATTTTGAAGCAAGAAGCGGGTAATAATTGTTTTATGTTGCAAGTATATGTGATTTGCTGTCATTTTTTATGCAAGTCACATGTCGCAACTGAGGAGGGTTTGTAGTTGTGGTTGCAACTGCACAAGCGAGTTGCAAAAAAAAATAAACATTTGCAGCTAACAAAGTAGATGAAGTTGCATGCAACTGCCGTTGAACCACTCTAGTTGCAGGTTACCAAATGCCCCTTAATGTGACTGATATACAGACTAAGTTGGTGTACCGTTTGGTGGCAAAAGGTTATCCACGGATGTATGATGTCTATTGTCAAGATATTTTCTCCGATATCGAAGCAATGACTTTAGTAAGTTTGCTTATTTCTATTGTAGTCAATCAATGGTTATTGTATCATCTTAATGTCAAGAATGCATTCCTAAATGCCTTTTTCTTGATGAGAGTTGCATATAGAGCGACCATTTAGGTTTGTTGCTCGGGGTGAGTCAGGGAGGTTTGCGAGTTAAATAAGTCTTTACATGATTTAATACGGTCTTCCACTTCTTTTAGGAGATTCGTTCCATTAACTTCAAAGCATGGACTTCATCACATAAAAAGATCATTTTTGGGCAGTTTGGTTTGCCGCAAAATGAATTGAATCAAATGTTGCAGTAGTAAATATTGTGCATGTTACAGTAGTAAATATTGCATGCAGCATTTTTGCATGAAATCAACTTCGAGTAAGTTGTTTGGATTGCTATATAATTGTGTAACATGTATTTTCAGTGCAAATCCAGTGTTTTGTTGAAAAAAGTGCAAAAGCTACATCATTTTCTCAAGATTTGGATTATAAATAGGTTGGTTAATGAGGTGAGCATTTATTTTTAATTTTAAATTTCTTTTTGGGAAGTTGCAACTTTTGCTCCTTTGAAATTGGATGTAGCATTTGCTACAGCATTTTCTTGCAAATTTTAAATGCGCTTTCTCGTAGTTGCAATTTAACAAACCAAACGTATGAAGTGCATCGCATAGCTTAACTTTGTAGTTCTATTTCCTATCAACCAAACAACACCTAGTCTTTGCCTATTAACATCATGGGAAAATTCTTTTAGTATATGTGGATGATATTGTGATAGGATGATGCATAGTGAAGCAATGATTTGAAATCACATGTAAAGCAGAGTTTTTCGGCTTGAATATCAAGATTACTTGTGATAGGTGAAGGGACAATCTTCCTTTTTTAGAGGAAGTATGCTTTAGATATGCTCTTTGAAACAAGTATTTCAAGATATAAACCACTTGAAGCGCCAATGAACCGCAATTGCAAGTTGCTATCAGATCGAGGAAAGTTTTTTAATGATCAGAGGGAGGTATAGAAGAGTTGTACGAAAGCTGAATTTTCTTTGTCATGCTTAGTGTTGAAAAAAACCTTGGTTTTGGCTGTGTGCCTTGCCGTTTTGCTTTCATTATAAGCGGCCGAAAAAGGCGAACGTGGCATTTTCTGCTCGAAAATGCAGTAGAAAGTGCATAAAAGCGCTGCCAAGTCTATTTCTCAAAAAAAATTATGAAACCTCTTTCTTAAAGTTGGGTGTTTGCATAGAAATCCATTTTTGAGTTTAAAGCTATGGAATGAGTAAGGAATGATACTTTTTTGGATTAAACAAATTGGGAAGGGGTTTAAATGAAAACTACTACCAGTCAATTTCTTCCTATATCCATTTCCTAATGACATGGATTCATATTTTGAGTTTCTATTCAAACAACAGTATGGTAAAGAAATCATTTTCCTTTCCACTCATAACAGAGGAACCTTTGTCATTTCTAGGATGGGTATGGAAATACTTGGAAAAGCTTTTCAGAGCTAGAAATCCATTACCAGATATTGTTGGAAAACACCCAAGCACTCCCTAGGGCTCTCGGGAAGGACGTTACCAGTAGTTTGTACCAGGCTGGACATGTACGAGGCTGGACATGTACGATGTGTATACCAGTTTGAGTGAGAGTATCATGAGATATATCAGGAATATGCTAATGAGATATAGGAGATTATGCTGAATGTCTTGAATTTATTCTTAAGGATATCTTTTACTAGAACTATCACATATTTTAATCATTGTATTAGAAATAATAGATATTGACAGGCTCTCATTGAGTCTCCTCTCCTATATGCTTATTTATTAAATAGCCATAGAACAGCTTACCAAATCTACAAATTTTCCATCCTATCCCATCGTTAGGGTTTAGGAAGTAAGATTTGGCTAACATAATTGTTCGTAAGCGCATTATATGAGGATTTTTAACCTTTTCCATTGCTGTATATTTGTGCTAAATTTCATCAACTGCTATGAATCCTCTCACTAATGTCTCTGCCATGAGATGTTATGCATCACCCGCAGTACTAATTTTATCTGTTAATAAGCAGAAATGCTGTTACTTCTATAACTAAATATTAGTATATTGCACACCGAGGTTTCCTTCATTTATTAGGGAAGCGTCCTTGTAAGAAATTGATTACACAACTACTTATTATTTTATTTGGAATGATTGCACAGTCACGGCGACAAAGCAATCAATTCTTGGCACGTTTAATTAATCATCAGTTGTTTACATCTGTTCTGCAGTCGCCTGAATTTATCTAAACATCATATTGTTTGCTATTTGCAGGGCTAAAACTGACGTTAAAGATGAATCCCCGGTGAAAAAAACCCGAAATGGAAAGAGAGGAAGATCTAAAAAAAGGGCTCGTTCGCAGTGGTCCAGCTGATGAGGGCTCGTTCGCAGTGGTCCAGCTGATGTATCTCACACCTAAATTATCATGCAACTGATGCAAATGCTTAGATTATGCTCTCGCTACTAAGAACGTTTTGTCCAATTTCATTCTTAGAAGAGGGCTTGCTGTACAAAGTTGTGGAAGTGATAACCGGCTAGTAACATTTAAGTTTTGTTTTATTTTGCACTGACATCTTTGGATGAAATTTCCTGTTGGCATACTAATCTTGAAAAGGTACCAAACAGATTGATGTGATATAATGTCGCCTCTTTATAGGTTGCAATGTATTCTGGGTGCCTGTTTTGTGAGTATTACTTACGGGGATATGTTTTAACACTGCTGCATAATTAAGTTGCTCGTGTTGCAAGTGAATACGGACTTGCGTATTGGTCCTATTTTGCTGATAATGGAGGTGTTTGCTCTTTATTTTTTTAATCTTCTTGGTGAGTTTTACATAATATAGTATATAATGATGTGTTAATCAAGAGCGAGTATACTTCACTTTTCTCTCAAGCCCCCATGGATCTACAACGCGTGGTTATGCAACTGCCCTCTTCCCTGAAGTATCTGCATCCGTTTTTTTTTTTTAACCTTTTTTTTTGGTGGGTGTCTGAGGTCGAGGCTGGTGGAAGCGGAAAACTTGGAATATCCATTATCCATACCATGAAATGGAGTCAGGTCAGCAACGAAACATAATATGTTTTGTGTCTACATATGTCCATAAATAATTAGCTCCCATAGTAGATAGTAACTCGTGCCTGGCTGAACGAGATACAGCTTGCAACTTTGACTCGAAATTTCAATTTCAAATATGTACTCGTTAATGTTTGTATGACTCTTAGATCATAATGCTGGTCTCCAAGCTCCTACATAACAGAGGAAAGGGAGAGGGTACCTGTCACATAACAGATTTAAACTATATTCAAGCATCAAGCATTGCAGAAAGAAAATCAATGATACAAAACTTGAAGGGAACAAGCTTCTATTCGTCTAGCTTCATCCAAGCTCTCCATATCAAACCATCCACAACAAAAACTGGAGGTAGCTACAAGAAACAACATCAAAACGAGCCACTTGCGCATATGTATCGCTTTTAACACATGAAACGATAAACTAGCGAGCTAAATCTTTCCTCTTTTCCTCTCTTCAAATCCTCTAGTACATATCACCACTGCTCCTCCCCCGGCCCAGCACCCGTCGATCCCCCCTCCCTCGCCCACCAAACAAATCATCATCCCCACGCCGTCCCGCGGCGACAACGGAGATAGAGGTCGACGATCATATCCCCTTCTTCTCTCCCATTCCTCGTCCATCAACCAATTGTTTCTACCTCCTCGGTATTCCTCCTCATACTCAATCCTATCATCTCTATACCTCCCTCTAGGGGGTGACTGGTAGCCATTGAAGTTTCTTCTTAGCGCACGGTCTAAGGGTGGAGCGGTGATATCAGGTGGAGACCGGCGAGAGGGAGGAGAGGTGAAGTAGGGCCTACGAGGGCTGCGAATGGGTCCGGTGCGTAGTGGGCTGCGAATAGGTCCGGTCCGTAGTGGGCTGCGAATAGGTCCGGTGCGTACTGGGCTGCGAATAGGTGTGGGGCGTCCTGTTGTTGCATAGCGAGGCTCATCACAGTTGTTGCAGTATGTCCTCCTTGCGAAATTCAGATTTCCACAGCTGAAGAGAGAGGACGAGAGAGGAAATGTAAGACAAATGATCCATAAGAAATAAAGAACTTGTGTAAAGTACTATGGGCATCATGAATTGCATAATTTGTGTAAAACCATTGCATATAAAATAAAGAGTATATTGTAAATAAGCTCACTTATTTATATCATCACTACTATTTATAACCACCCATCAATTATCGGAGAAAAAGCAGGGTTATCTGCAATTTCTCTCTCAAAATGTCAACTGAAGACTAGGTAAGTGCTAATAAATGAGTTGAGGGCTAATAAGTGATACTGAATATATAGATGAGGGGGTTATCTACAAATTTACCCTAAAATAAATAAAAGCACAAGTGATTGAAAGTTTTTAATCAACATAGGTATGAGAACAAAGCTTTAAAAGTTTTTATCAACATACCGGGGGTTTCCACAAATCCAGTCGCCTTCCCTAGGAGATAAATTAGGATCATTTCTGTGAACATATTCTCCATCAGGAGATAACACTCGCTGATCTACAGTGTAGCCCCTTCCATAGGAGGATCTACCACCCCTTCCCAAGCCATTCGGTGGTGAAACATCACGAAACCTTCCACCTCCCCTCCCACCACCTCGAAACCCTCGACCAAAGCGTGAACCAGCTGGATAATCAAAGTTTGTGTCATAATGGCTACCATCTAACCTAGGGCGGCGTAAAGGTGGTGAGATAGAACCTGCACGAGGAAGATACCCTGAAAACAATAACATTAAAAATTAACCAGAGGCAAAAATGTAATATAAGTAAATGAACCGATCTAGATGCTGTTGGATTCATCACATTCCAAAAGAGTGAATTTCCAGTTAAGAGACTACCTGGAAAATTGAACTCTTCACCTTTCAAATAAGAATCGGCGGAAAGGAAGAAGAATCAAGTGATGTCAGCTCTTTCGTATGTTACACATCGTGTCATACATTAACCAGAACATAGTACAAGAAACGAACTGAAAGCGTTCATGATCGTGAGAACTAAACAATCTACTCGCTAAGGCATCTTACAGTTGTGCAAAAGATAACAATATTTAATTTAACAAAATCCACATTGTTCATTTCCTTAAATATTAGCAGTCTATTTACAACCAAAAGAAGTAGATAGAAAGGAAGTCGATGACAATTACCATGAACCAAAATGTAGCTAATTTGTTGAAAAGAACTTCAGAAAAGTACCTGCTGCTGAGGTCATTCACTACAGTTCCTCGGTGAGCATCCACAAAATAGGATATACCAAATGGATGTTGCATGCTTGTTTTTTCACAACCAAAAAAGAAACACTTTGGCATCAATAAAATTCACTGCCAACAAATCATCCAAGAGACCCTTTTCAGGGACCCAACCACCATAATAAAACAAATGATATTTCTAGTCCAATACCCCATTATATTCCTTGCCAATTGCTACTATAAGCATCAAGCATAGTCCCTTCACTAGTTGCAGTTCTGTTAAGCAACTGTGCCAATCCCCAGGAGATATACTGCATGGCCGACCTGTAAGAAGTCTCCAGGTCCACATTTCTTCAGTAAATACTAAAATATAATTCCTGAGTAAATACTAATGATCAATTCCACTATAGAATCCTCAATAACAGAATGACTCTCACTCATTTTTCTTAGGAACCATCAAAGGATCCTCGGGAAATAGAGTTCAGATTAACTTAATCCAGTAAAAGAAGCCAAGAAATGTGTTCTATTCCAAACACGAACACTTTGCTGGTGACAAGAATACGACTGTCTCTCTTATTTATGTGAATCACCAGCCTACTATACAAATTACAAATTACTAGATACATTTGATGCAAAACTTCTTTAATGAACCCACCTTAAAAATCTTTCTACCTATTATACTGCAAATGAATAGTATTAAGTCATCTCACAATTGATTACTTATCCGACCCTTGAAAATAGCAACCACTTGTCCATTTTACCACCAATATCCATTTTACACTGAAAAACTTTCAAACCTTCTTCCCTTCTTCCGTTATACAATCAACAACAGTAAATGAGCCTTGCAGCAGCTAGTGACCAAATCTGTTTCTTGTCAAGGGACCTTAAAATGTTGCATATATCATATAGAAAACGAATAGGATTCAAGTCATACAACAACTGATGCTTATTCAACCGTCGAAACTAGCAGGGACTAGTCCCTTTACCAACATCATCTGCTCAAACTTGGCAATGCTTTAATCCTTCTAGCCTTTCCCCCCCTTAAGCAATAGATGTAGACGAGCCATGCTGCACTTGTCGAGCAAGCTTCATGTCAAGGGACAAAAAGGGAGAAGTCTATCTTCACCAACAAAAATTGATCAGAAGCTCCCACCTCACAAAATGTGAGTTAACTTGATTGGTAAATACCATAAGGACAATTCCGTAAAGCTCAAAGATGAAACACAGAGATCACTCACCGTTGCACATGGTAAAACCAGGGCAAGACTTTATATCCATAATTGAGGACAATAAATTAATAAGTCCCCGGTCATTATCTTGACGGGAACAGGTATGTAAATCATAACCAGCACGCTAAGTTTCAATGCGATAATATCTCAAGTATTGCACTAAAAAAATCCAGTCATGTTTCCTGCTATTTCTACAATCGATTCAAACCACCAAAAACCAAATCTCCAGTAACATGTAACCTATTCCAAACAGAAATCCAGATTACTTATGTGGCAGTCCCCGGATGATCATCTTGGTTATAGACAGCGTAAGCAGACCACCCAAGTGATGCATGTCACAGAAAACTAATTGCATGTTCGGTTACTAATATCCATTGAACTTTTTTTAACCCAACACATCCATCTCTTATTCTACCACTACATGACCCATGATATTTCCCAACAGCAACCAGCCAAGACCTGAATGCATGCTAAAATTCTGCCTTTCTTACCCATGATCTTGCACCCAAGCCAGGAAACTTGGAAACTGAAAACAGCATAGTAGCAAATTATTCTCAACATAGCATATTGAAGAGGTTGAAGTGCTTGCTAACAAAGCAAATAAGTTAAACAAGAAACACTTCGTGCATAAAATGAGATGTACACTTCGCAATATGACAGATCCAAACAACGGAAACTATTTACACGTGCATGTTTATGATGTAAGGCCAGTATTTCCATGAGATACACAGTGACCAGGGGGACTCACTCCTAAAGGGCTATAGATAAGAATAATCAAAATATACAAATGAAATAAGAATCAAATACCACATGAATATCTCAATAAAGCAATCTAAATTAGTTTCAAAGAGAATTATTAAAAAAAGGGGTCTCTACTCCCCAAACTAGAAAAGGCATGCAAGGGCTAAAGCATCATATGCAAAATAAAACACATAAAAAGGGGAGATATTGAAGAACAGATAGTATATACATCATGTAAAACACAACTAAAGCTCCTTTTCACATTGATTGCAAGAGAGTTTTTATAAAAGGTGCACGTTTTAATTAAAAAATATATATTAGGGCTCTTCTTTGGGGGGAAGTTATTTTTTTTGGAGTCTTGACCTCGTTGGCGTTCAAATAGAAGACGAACGAGATATAGTTTGAGTCAATTAAAAACAATCAGGCCCCTGCTATAAGTAACCTGCCCATTTTTGGACAAACTTCATGTAATTTGGGATTTCAAGAGTCCACTTAAGCTTGTATTCGAAGTAATTTCAGACAACTAATGGCAAGCAGATAATAATAACCAACTCTTAGAATCTAGGGTTGCATGATAACAGAACTAGAGAAAATCTCTTGAGCACACATAAGGAGGACAGTAATGGCGCATATTAAATAAATAAAGAAATAATATTAATAATAACAACAAAAATCAATTTTCATAATCTAGGGTTTCAGATCAAAGAAAAACAAATCATGCAAACCTTGTGAATTATCTTGAAAACGATGAGACCTAGGGTTCCTGAACGGCGGCGGAGATCCTCCTCCTCTACCACCACCGCGCCGCCTAAAACCGGGCGAAGAATCACGGCGGTAGAGATTCCCCGCGCCGTCGGAAGGACGGCGGTGGAGACCCACCGCGTCGTCGACGGAGATCTATCGGAGATTCTCGGCGAGGGGTGGCGGAATTGATGCGGTGGTTGAGCTCGCTAGCCTCGAAATCGCCGGCGGAAGTTTCCGACGGGCGAACCACCATGCTGCTGATGTTCGATGAAAGCCGAGGCGGGGGAGCTGACGGCGTCGGTGAGGTCGGTGAGGATTCCGGCAGCTGAGGATCTTGCTCTCGCTCACGAGGCCGCATTGTTTTGCCCTAAAAACTTGGTTTTCAATTGAAGACTAAATTGAGCAGCCGATATTTCAGGACGAGACTACAAATGTGAAATGCCGTTTAGTTTATATATACGAGACGGTTGGTACTTTGAGATTCGATTTTTGAGCGGTTCTTTCGACATCTGCCGTTGGATTTTGTGGGCGCTTTTCCCCCCTCCCCTTTTTGTTTTTACAAAATTTTAGAACCAACAACTTAATTACAAAAAAACGATTTATTTGTAACTTAATTATCAAAATCGACCCAGTTTTAGCGAAACAAGGTCGATTTTTTTGATAAAAAAAGTTACGAAACTTCACGGGACTTGAAGCTCCGTGAAGTTTAACAATATGCTTAAACTTCACGAGACTTTTCGTAAATTATTTCGCCAAAATCGACCTAGTTTCAGCCAACTGGTTGAAACTAGGTCGATTTTGGCAATTAAATTTGAAATGGATCGATTTTGGCAATTAAGTTTCTAAATGGGTTGGTTTTAAAATTTTGTCATTTTTCCCACTAGTTTTTATGCACGGTGCAACCCACGTGATTAAATATCAAAATAAATAATTAATTAATAATTTTATTATTGTAAATAAGTCAGATTCATTTTTTATTATATATTATTAAAAATATAAGAGAGAAAAAAAAATTACACATGTGATGATGACAAGCGGGCAACAAGCTACGCCGCTAATCCTTTCTGAATTGCAAAACCTAACCTACGAAACACGTACTCAGCTGACCCCGTTGTCGCCACATTTCTATTCATGATTTTTTGTACCCTCCTGAGGAACTCCACCGCATCAGCTGCAAGGTAACCAAACGTATCGAACGCGAACGGGATGAAACTGTGGTGGTTGTCCTTGCAAGCTTGATCATGTTTGCCCATCTTTGCCTCTGCCGCCCTATCCGCTGCATGCCCAACCGTGAACACTCAATTACCAAACCCCACCAACGGAGACACCCCCGTAAGATCAACACAAGCGTGCTTCCCCCCGCTCCAACTGTAGACAAGAACGTCTGCCGGCCTTAAAGTAGATCTAGCCTCTCCAGGAGGAGTGAGAAAGTTGACCGGCGCTTCCTTCTTGGATGGGATTCCTGCTCTTCGGAGGATATCATACAAGACATCTCTAACTAAGTCATGCCTGTATTTGAACCCCGGCTACTTCTGACAGTGGATGACATGCTCTCCAAAAGCATCCATCGGCGTCCTACGACAAACTGGGCACATTGTCCCCTCCACGAACAAAGGAACCAACAACATGTACCTAAGGATGGCGTGATACTCCCCCGGAGTCATACGCTGCCCCAATCCCTCAATAGGCGTGGCCAATAAAAAATCCTGGGCGTGCTTTGCCCGCAGGCACCCAACAATCGCAATCTGCCTCTCTGATAGGTCAAACTTCGTCGATAGATCTCTACAAACGCCACCAAAAAAGATGCTTGCCAAGTAATGCATTGGTTTTGGGGGGACAGACCCTTTAGTGGTGATTTGAAGAAGGTCAACCTCAGGTAGCTTGGCTTGGAGAAAGGCTCGGGCGGAAGTAAAATGCTCACCTAAAGAAACAACACCACAACCTCTCAAAATGTGGTGTTGGAGCTCGATGGAGTGAATCCGCGAGGCCACAAAAGAAAACTGTATAGCATCGGCCGCTGCGTAGTCCCCCAACCCGCCTGCTTTGATAGGTAAAGAGGCCAGCCTCCATTGGAGATCCCCGAAGCCTGGGCCTTCGGATGTGACAATGCTCTCGACTGACCTCTGAAGTGCAATATCGAACTGAGTTGCCGCCTGAGCAAAGAGCTGTGGTGGGCAAGTCCTCAAGGCGAAATACAACTTGGACAAGCCTGCACAAGCCCTCAAAAGGACGAGCTCGCACTGTAGATTTGCTATAATTTTTATTTAATCATTATTAAAAAAATCAATGTAATGGATTTTTGTGCTAAACCAGGATCAATATATTTAACTCACATATCTTAATTGATTTCCTAAGAAAAATATATCAATTGACATAATAACATCTTCAAGAAAAATAGTAAAAGAAAATAAGTTAAATTGATATTACATGTCATATGCCAAACTCTACTAATCTCAAACTATAATATGGAGCCAAGCATGAATAATAATATCATTATGAACTGTATTTCTAGCAATAAAGAAATCATATTTTTTAATGCATTGAAAACAGAATTGCATAGAACTTTTGAACATTATAAGCTCACGTTTTATACTAAACAATCTCAAAAGTGAACATTAAAAAAAAAGCATGAAAAACATGACATGGATACACACACACACAAGAAATATGATTCTAAGAAGCCACCTTAGATTGAATCTAAGTATGCACCTTCAAAATTAGATCATACACAATTAATTTACTCGATCCACTCCATTCATTTTGATCTATATGATTCGGATGGCATATAAAGTAAAAATTAGGCATATTAGGTTATACTTACTAATGCATCAAGTCATAGTAAAATTAATAGTTATATGATACCACAGCCAAAGAGAAAAAGAAAAATATGTGTTAGAAATATTCAAATATCATGATTTTTTATTTCGTAGATGTTTTAAGATATTTAGATCTTGATGAATGGAGCGGATCATATATTAAAATAGCCCAATCCATACATTAAGAGGTGCATCCTTAGATTCAATCTAAGTTTTCGCTCCTTAAAATTGTATATATATATATATAATATAATATATATATATATATATATATATTATATATATATATATATATATATATATATATATATATATATATATATATATATATATATATATATATATATAATAGAGAAAGAGAAGAGAGAGAGAGAAGGAAACTGGGAAATCGGCTGGCAGCGTCACGCCCCCCCCCCCCCTCATGCGCTGCAGTACACATGCAAGTCATTGATTCTTCCAGCGCGTTGATTCGAAAACTTTATGCTCATTTTACAATGAGCCCCTCTAAGAGCTCACAAATCAAGCCCGCGTGAAGCTCTCTCTCTTTCCTAAAAGCCTACAAGAGCTCACAAATCAAGCGGCTGTGAAGGCTCTCTCTCCCCAAAAGCCTAACCCCAAACCCAGATCCAGATCTCTCAAATCCCCGTGAAGCTATCTCTCTCGATCGGTCGATCTCGAACAACTCCGCGAGCCCCCCTCTCTCTCTCTTAAGCCCTCTCTCGATCCGCGAGCCAACCCCGTCGATTTGCAACGCCGCCGACCAACTTCGTTGATTTGTAACTCCAACTCCGACAAAGCCAACGTAGGTTTGAATCTCGATCACTCTCTCCAACGACAATTCCAACTCCAACTCTAACTCCGACAAAGTTAACTTGTAAATCTCTAACTTAGAATCTTGAAACTGCCTTTAGTGTTGTAAATGTACTGGTTTCTGTGGGATATCCATACTTTCCTTTCATATTTCTTTTTATTTAGAAAAGTTTGAGATTAAGGCTTTGTTGTTGGTGGATCCCTTTAAATTATTGATCATGAAATATGTATATTGATGTTGACACTATTTAGATATAAAATCAATCTTCGTGTTTCACAAAAATAAAAGCAGATAAATGTGTGTGCAAGTTTAATGGAAGTAAGATGAGTAATATCTGGACTTGTTGCGCTAAACTTTATTATTCAAAGTGCATTATGAACTTATTTTGACATCTAGATTAGCTGATTAGTATTGATATTGTCTGCATGTAGTTTTGATTCATGATCTGATTGTTTACTGATTACTTGGCCTTGGATATGGATTCCATTGTAGAAGTGTGTTCTATTGTTGATTGCATTTAGATTAGGGCTCCAGTGCAGCTGAATAAATCATGATTCATGACATTTTAACTTTCTACAATATTTGAGTCTGCATCTCAGTAGCAAAATTAGTAAAAATTAATTTTTTTAATTTGCTGATAAACTGAAAAATAGTGAATTCTTTTTTACTCAATAATCAGTGATCATTCTCAAACTTGTGTTGTTGTTATTTGATAGAATGTCTTGGGCTATGCTTGATTGTTGGTAAAGCATGATTCACGTATGTGACTTTGGCTATGACTGTAAAATGACTAAGTAATTGCTTGGTTGTTGACGAATGACTCATTGTGTTTGAATAATTGACAGAGGCTGGTGTAGAATTATTTGAGTGCATATTAAAATTAGAGTTTTAGTTAAAGTTCTATTTGTACAGGGAGGAAAGTGTCCTAAATGATACTTCTTCTCAACTTTTATAAGTCATGCATACGAATATTTCTAGGTTATCCATGGCAAGGAAGAGTTTTTATGTTGTGAAGAGAGGTCGATGATGTGGTATTTTTAATAATTAGGAGGAATACAAATCTTAAGTTAATAAATCCCCAAATGCCTCCTTCAAAGGGTATGCAACGTACGAAGAGGCTTTGATTGAATGGGAGAAACACACCATCGCTCGTGATTCAGCATCCAACTCAAGGCCTATCCAAACACCTGTTTATGTTCTAAATGAATATTTCTAGAGGGGAATAATCTGGATGAGGACAAGGAAAAACTTGGAGAAACTGTTATTTCCTCCATCTATGCTTTTGTATTAGGTTCAGTGTTTACAATATTAGTGTTTCTAGTATGTATCGTTGCAGTATTTGTTGATTTCTTCATTACAAAAAGCATGTAATGTGATTTGTAAGTTTATTAGAGCTATAGGGAGAAGAATGATGTCATATTTTGATTCCATAGAATGCAATTTATATTTCCCTCTTAATGTTGTTTGC